GCCTCTGCTCTGCTCCCCTCCCCTGCAGGAGGGCCAGGCTCACTTGGACTGGCTCCATGCCCTGGGGTGAGCATGTCACGTGTGATCCTTAGAACCCTCCTATGACCCAGGAGGGGTCGTCCCCATTTTCTAGAGGAAGTCATAGGCACAGAGAGCTCCTGGACTTGGCATGAAGTCCTGTCTCCAGGAAGTTGCAGAGTGGAGACTAGAACCAGGACCAGCTGACTTGTGCTGTTTGTTCAGCACTGGTCTGGTCTGCTTTGAGTTTGGCTTCCTCTCGAGTGTCCTTCTGGGTTTTTCTCTAGGACTCCCGTAGGCATGTCAGCCTACTGACAGCCGGGGGATTTGCAAGAACCACAGGCCAGTGGGCAGAGCCTGAAAAGGTTGCGTTGCTGCTGGTGGTTTGCCTTGAACTCACTGCACAAAGGCCTCTGGGACCTGCAAGAATTGCCTAAGTACGTTGACACACACCAAAATGCAGTCTTGCAAGAGGCTAAGGCCGCTAAATTGTGGGTGATCAGGGGCTGCTTTTGAGCTGCTTGGTGTTGGCACCCTCCTCCCGTCCAGCCGGGCCTGGCCAGGTGTCTACACTTTCACTGTCACTTGAACGTGCTTGGTGTGAGGTGCCACAGGCTTGCTTACATGGTGAGCAGATTCTGTGTGGCTCCCAGCCCAGGAGTGCCCCAAGAGGTGCCCTCACCTAATTCCGTGGGGGTGGGGGGGGTGGGGGGTGGGGAGGCTTTGCCTAGGGTGGAGAGGTCTGTAGCATTTACAGTGACACCCAAAGAGGCCCTGCTCCCCGGCCACCCACCCACTCTAGTTGGGACACAGAATGAGCCTCACCACCCGAGGATATGGGTGGTTGGCTTCAGAGTTACACGGCCCCAAGCCCCTTCTGTGGAACCCCCGTGCCATCGGGCCCCCATGCCTGCTCCTGTGGTGGAGAGCTCTGGCTGCCGCTTGCTGTTTCTGGCCTGGGGGTCGGTGGGATAACGTGCTGGCAGGAGGGTCAGAGACACCTGGGTCTGGTTCTAACCCTGCCACTAGCCAGCTCTGTGACTTTGGGCAAAGAACCGAATTGTTCTGCCTCTGAGCTTTCCTGTTTGAAAGATGGGGTAATAGCGCCAGTATTACGGGGTGTGGAAGGGGCCCTTTCAGTGTATTAAGTGTTTAACACAGAAAAGAACGGTCCTGCTTGCTATGGTGACCACAGTGGTGTGCATACCTCATGGTCCAAGGCCGGCCTCCCTTTGGGCTTAGCGGGAATTAGGCCCCATCCTTTGGGAGGGAATTTGATCAGGTCATAAAAGAGAGACAAAGGAGGTTACTCGGAATCTGGAAAGCACCCAGCTGAACTGTCACTCCCAGATGGTTGGCAGCCAGGGACAACAGCCCTGCCCCATGGACCATCTGCCCCAGAGAGATCCAGAGAAGAGGCCCCGTTGGGAGCTGGGTTAAGCTGGCCAGTGTCCTGTCCTGGCTCTTCCACGGGGCTGTCGGGTGAGCTCCCAGACAGGCCACTTCCCCTGTCTGGTCCTCCGTCAGTCTCCTCATCTCTAGAATGACTATCGGCCCCCAAAGTTCCTGCCTGGGGCCAGTGTTCACAGAACCCATGACCTAACATGTGATCCCACCATGCTGCCGGTTCCTCCTGTCTTTCTGATGCAAGTTAACTTTAGTTCTTTCTTTAAAACAGAATGGAACAAACCATGAGCCCTTTTCTTAGTGCCCAGTTGTTGTGAGAGAAGGAAATCTGTGCTTCAGTGGAGGGAGCTGGCCATGACTCAGCCAGAGGTCTTTGGGGGTTGGCGGGGGGCGGGGGGGGTTGGGGCGGGATGGCAGGATTCTCTCCCTGCCCTCCATGGTGCCAGGTGGTAGGCAGGCTGTCGTGGAAAGCGGCCAGGCAGGGGCGTAGGGAAGGACAAGCCTCCAGGCCCTGTCCTGATCCTAATGCCTCTGTAGGACTTGATGATGGACTTGGGCCACACTGGGCTTTTGCTTGACCCTCATTTGCTCTGAATGCATTTGGAGGAATTAGACCCGGGAGCATGTCTGGGAGGAGAGCCGGAGACCACGGGCAAGGACCACCCTGGTCTTGGAGCCCTGGCGACTCACTCACTTGTGCCTACTCTGTACCTAACATAGCCAAGTCCTTCTCCAAGTTCTTGGGATGCAACCCTGAGCAAAACAGAAAACATCTCTGGGCTTAAGTGGGAGAGGACAATAGACAGACATACAGCTCATGTGGTCCACGGGAAGTGCCGTGAAGAAAATCAAGCAGCAAAAGGAGGTCAGGACTGAAAGATGGAGAGCTGTCCACCTCGGGTGGTCTCTGAGGAGGTGAAATGAGAAGACCTGAGTGAAGTGAGTGAGGAAGCCCGAAAGGGACATGGAGGAACATTCTGGGCTGAGGGAAGGGACGAGTTTGGCGAGTTCCAGAAACAGTAACGATGCCAGGCTGGCCTGGAGAGTAGAGTTGTAGGAGCCAAAGCCTGTCTGCCTAGGCCCTGGTGGGCCATGGCAAGGAGTTTTATTCTAAGTGTAAAAGGAAGTGAGTTGGAGAGTTTTGAGGAGGGGAGTTACTCGATGTATGTTTTTTTTTTTTTTTTCAACGTTTATTTATTTTTGGGACAGAGAAGACAAACATGAACGGGAGGCAGAGAGGAGAACAGAAACCTGAAAGGCTCCAGGCCCCAGAACACAAGCAGCCCAGAGCAAACAAACTCAAACTCAGGCTCCCACCGGAATCAGCAAAAGCAGCGGACGGGGGGCGAGATCGCAGACTGGCTGAATGTCGACGTTATCCGACTGCGCTACCCAGGCGCCCCATCGATGTATGTTTTTAAAGGATTGCTTTAGTTGCTTAGGGACCTGTGAGGAGGCCCCTGCAGGATCCAGACCTGCAGGGGTGGAGCATGGACAGGTAGGAGCAGAGAGGGAGAGAGTGTCCGATGCACTAAGTCTTTTGAAGGTGAAACCAACAGAGGGCAGGGTGAGTGGGAGTCGGGTAGAAAGAGGCATCAGGCATGAGAGGTGTAGGTTTTCTGATCTAAACAACGGAGTAGGTGGCCGTGGTACCATTTAATGAGAAGGGGAAGAGTTGGCAGGGGCTGGGGTTGGGAGAGCAAAGGGTGTCACCCACCATATGTGGACAAGTCAGGTGGACATAGGGTATTTGACCCGGGAGCCGCTATGGCTGGAGATTGGGATTTATGGGTCAGCTGTGTAGACATGCTATGTCAGGCCATGTGACTCATGGCCTCACCTAGAGGACGCCGGGGAGGGCAAGGAGGCCCAGACTGAGGCCAGCATGTGGATGTTCCTGGAGGAGGACGAGCCAGCAGGGGAGGCTGAGGAGTGACAGCACTACGTGCCCCCAAAGCTGAGCACCTTAGCGTAGGAGGGAAGGACCAGCTGTGTCTGGTCAGGTCAAATAAAGGGTGGGCTTTTTTTTTTTAAAAAAAAAAAAAAAGACTTGACCTCCAGCTCTGGCAAGAGGGTCAGTCACTGGGGACCTGGCGGAATGGCGGGGAGGGAAGTCTGCAGGATTCAATGGGCAGTGATGGGTCACCTTTGGGCTTGTCTGCCCCTGCAGCATAGATAACTGGGGAGGGAAAGGAACTAGTTAATTCAGTGGGAGGACTGAAAAGTAGAAAAACCGGTGTGTGGTATATACAGGACTGTGTGTCGCTCCCTGGAGTGTGAGCCCCAGCCAGGCAGGGGGGCTCTGCCTGCAGGCCCCAGAGCTTGAGACGGTGCCCGGCACTGAAGATGTACTCACGCAATACTAGTTGAATGACGTGGGGCCTAGGCCCTTCTGCACTGCGTGGTGTTTTGATCTTGGCCTTCTTGGGGCCTGTGTTCTGCTTTGTAAAACAGACAGATCAGGTCCAGGCAGGGCATCTTCACAGGGGGCCCACAGACTGCTGTGGGACCCAGCCTCGAGGAGCCTGTGAACTCTCTGAAATTCCATCCAGAATCTTGGGCACGTAAGCATTTTCTGAAGGTGGTCTGTGATTCCAAAGAGGTTGAGACCTCCCGGGGCTTTCTTTAAAGGGCCTCTCCTTCCCACTCCAGCCTCCTGGGGCCAGCAGTGAACATAGGAGGCAGGAGTGTCTTAAAGTGTGAGAATATGCCTCGGAAAGGTGGGTTCTAGACAGACATAGCCCTGTTGTGTATCGTGAGGTAATAATGAATGGCAGCCAGATGCCAGCATAAAGTACTTAAGCAGAAAAGTAGGCAGCTTAATTTTCAGAGACCAGGTGTTTTGTTTTATATGGAAAAATCTTCTCTGGTTCAGGAACCTGTGTGGTGCCTGGGGGGTGGGGGGGCTTTTTCTTCGTACACGTGAGGCAGCCTAGCCCCCGTGGGATTGGGGGGTGCTCCCTTTCTGGGGTGAATGCACTGTTTAGCACAGGCCTATTTTAATTCAGTAACGAATACCCAGTAACTAATAACACGGAGCACAGTTGTGCCCCCGGGCTCTGCGTCCCCCACAGCGGTGCCCGGTCCTCTGGAGAGAGGCTCACCTGCTCCGGGGACCTGTGAACGCACCTGGGGAGCTGTCACAGAGGGCGACGTCGTCTTCTACACCAGATTGTGCATGAAATGAGTTGGTGGGCTTTCAGAATGTGAAAGAAACAGGGCAGGGCCCCATGTCTCTGACTGCATAGTTTTTCCAGGACAGACTCTGCTCTGAGATCTTCACCTCTGGTCTCTGGAGCACGGGGGCCACTGGGGTTGAAGTTTGTCCAAATGTTCAGGGAAGGTAGGTGCGGGTTAGCCAGAATGCCTTGCCATCTTTTGGCCCCCGGGTGCAGTTCCTGTCATCTGCAGGGACGGAGGGCTTGCCTTACCCCCGTGCCGCCTGCATGGATATGAGCCGGGAGCATCCCTTGACTAGCGGTGTGGACGCTCCTCTAAGAAGCACGTTCATGGTGCTGCTTTTGGACCTAACTAACTCTCTCTCCCTCTCTCCCTCCTTTCCCCCCTCCCCGCAGTTGGCTGGAGTTGTCTTCCTTGGAGTCGGACTGTGGGCATGGAGCGAAAAGGTAGGTGTCCCTGTTACTGGGACCCTGGACATCAGGTAGCCCAGACCAGGTTTGTTCAGCTTAAATTGTTCCTTATTCCAGACTCCTCCCCGACAAACATTTCTTGCACGCAGTAATGGTTTGTAGCCATTAATCATCACACAGCCAGCTCTTAGAGATAGTTGTGACAAAAACTCCTGGGGTCCTGTGACTGGCTCTGCTTCCCCATGGTAGGGTCGCTGCTCAAGGCCAGGACTGGGCTGTTTGGGTATTTGAGCTCCATGAGTGTGGGGAGCCCTCTCTCCTGTTCCCAGAAGCCTCAGATGGCCCTGGGGGCTTGTCTGCAGCTGTGTCTAGGGCCAGCCTGGGGCCACCTTCTGCTCTTGTCTGTGCCTCTGGTAGCCAGCAGGTCCCTGAACACAGTTGTGTTTATTCCTGAAGTTCTTGTCCTGAGATCAAGGAGCAGGGCTGTGTTAACACGCCCCCTGGGTGCCCTGTGGGGCCGAGGCAGGTCTTTACATACCTGTGAACCTCCTCGCCCTGCCTGTGCAAGAGAGGTGAGGTGGGGAGAGTGGGCTCTTACTGTCAGGAAGGACAGAGGCAGTTGAAGCTTTGGGGGGGGGGGGGGGATGAGACCCGTGAGCTGCAGTACCACTTTCTGCTCCGCGGGTGGGTGTGTGCTTTGGGGGGTTCAAGAGAGCTGGAGAGGATCCTCACTACAGGGAGGACAGAATAGGGAGGGAGTAGGAGCAAGGTGGACTGGGTCAGGCTCCTGCCTGGGAACTAAGGCATCCTCTTGAGGCTCAGGCCCAGAACCCTCTGTTGCTTCAGTGGAACCTCCCTTTGCTTTCTGGAAAGGAGGCAGGGTGCTTAGATCTCTGGGCTTTCTTGCCATGGCCTTAGGAACTGAATATGGCCTGCCTTTGGGTTTGGGCATCTTCAAGGTGGCCTGTGAACCCCTAAAGGGCGGGGGCTGAGGTGCAATGTCACTTTGCCCTACTGACAAACCCTGCAAGCTGGTGCAAACCATGACTCCTAGCGCCACCGTGTGGCCACCGCCTGCACAGCAGCAGCTCCCCTGGCCGAGCCCTGAGCAGAGAGGCCTGGCTCCCCCTGCTCTTTTCTTCTTCCTCCTCTGAATCCTGGAGAACTGCTCTGTCCGTTTTGGTTCACACTAGCCACATGTGACTGTGTGTATTTAAATTAGTTAAAATGAAACACGAATGAAAATTCGGTTCCTCAGTTCCACTCAGGTGCTCAATAGCATGGGTGACCAGTGGCTACCATTTTGGACAGTGCAGATGTAGGACCCCTCCCATCATCACCAAAGGTTTTGTGGACAGCTCTGCCTTTGTCTGCCTTTGGCGGGTGTTTTCCACAGGAATGTTCATACTGAAGCTGTTTTCATGTCAGGAGAGTGGGCTTCACCCTGAACTGAGTGCAGAGTAAGCTGCCAATGGCCAGAGGCCAGGGTGAGGGTCTGGCCCTAAGGTGCCTTGACCGTAGGCCATAGGGTTCCCCGGCACCCCTTCCCCACTCCAGGTCTGGCATAGGCACCCTACAGGCTACAAAAAAAGCATGGGGTCTGCCTGGTAGGAACTCGTAGCCAAGGTGGAGCCCAGGAATGCTCCCTGTGAGGGTCCTGGGAGCTGAGGTGGGCAGGGGTCATGCTGCGTGCTCTGGTCTGGCTTTTAATAGGAGGATTGAGCCTTCTAAGACAGGTCCCTGCCCTCATTTTATCTCTGGACACCACCCAGACCCCCAGGGCACCCCTGACTCCCCGAGGCTGATGTTGCCCTGCCTTCTCTGCCTCTTTCAGGGGGTGCTGTCCGACCTCACCAAAGTGACCCGGCTGCACGGAATCGACCCTGTCGTGCTGGTCCTGATGGTGGGCGTGGTGATGTTCACGCTGGGGTTCGCTGGCTGCGTGGGGGCCCTGCGGGAGAACATCTGCCTGCTCAAGTTTGTGAGTGGCCCCAGATACAGGGGTGGGAGAGGGCTGGGAGGTAGGGGTGCGGGCTCTGCTGGGCAAGCTTATACCTTATCTGGTCGGAGGGGGCCCAGCAGTGCAGGCAGGAGGCCACCTTTGGTGTCCACCTAATGGTAAGATTTCAGGGAGCACTCAGATGAGCTAGCTCCTCGTACCTGGAGAAGTTGGGCTGCTCTGGTTTTCAGCTCCTAGAGGCAAGAGATGGCCAAGCGGGGGGCTCCTCTCCCCCTCCCTTGCTTTTTACTTCCCTCAGAAGTTCTAAAGGCATTGTTCGCCGCTCACCTTCGCCCTTCTTGGCTAAGATCAGACGATGTTGCCAGTAAAGTTAGGAAATCATTTCCCTCCTCCAGGGTGTGTGAATCTGTTGGGATGTGCGATGCAGAATCCTTCATTTCCTGGCAGCACTGCGAGTTACTAAGAATTTGGTTTTATATTTAGATACAAATTCATGTTGAAATGCATTCAGTTAAAATTAAATAGCACCTGGTGGGGAAAACACCTAATCGTGTTTTGCAATATATTATTTGTCGAAGTGATTAGATCAAGCATCTCTTTCTTGGGCTTAATTTAAGAAGCAGAACACGGTTGGTTTGGTTTTTTCCCCCCTAATTTTGTTTTCTATTAAAAATATTGCATTTAGTATCTTCCCTCTGTGTGCATGGAGGCTGGGTTTCCGAGGGCCTTCTGCGTGTGCGAGGGTGCATGCGCGCGTGCGCAGTTGTTTCCCTTCTGTCTTAACTCTGAGACCTTCACCCGCTGCGGCATGAGCTCAGTGTGACCAGTGATGATCATGGCCGGGGGAGTGTGCGCGCGCCGCAGGCCAGAGGTCTGCCTGATGGGAGGGGTGTGGGGCTGCGGTGGACTCTTGCAGGATGCCCCACGGCTGTTGCAGACAGGGGCTCTGCGCTTCTGGAGAAGTCTTGAGGCGTGCAGAGTAGGTAGTGGTAACGTCGGCGACTCTGGAGTTGTGAAGACACCTGCCAGGGAACTCAGGTGTCCTGTGTGAGCAGTGTGCTCTCAAGCAAGCCACACGCCCGAGTGAGCCTCAGTTTCCATGTCCCTACAGTGCGGGTGACGGGTTAGATTTCTAGCAACGTGGATGGTTGCGTGTGCGAGGAGAGTGGTCAGGTACTGTGTCTAGGGCACAGGCTGTGCCCTAAAGGAGCTGCTTGTCTGGTGGAGGACGTTAGCCACTCGTTTCCGGGATGGGGTTTCCTGCGGGGGAGAGGGAGACTCCTTCCCAGGAAGTGGGTGACACCGTGGCTTGGAGCTGTCTCTTCCTTTCCCTCACCTGACTCTTAGCCATGCTGCAGGGATGTGGGTAGGGATGCGTTATCTCTGTGTACAGGCAGGGCGGGGTTGCCAGCCCGTAACATGGGATTCCCGGGGCTCCAGCGCCGGTCTCCTGGCGGCAGGCGGTGGCCTTGGGTCTGATGAGGGTTCGCGCGTGGCCTGGAGGCTACAAATGTGATGACTCTCCCACCCTCGTCCCCATGCAGTTCTGTGGCACCATCGTGCTCATCTTCTTCCTGGAGCTGGCCGTGGCCGTGCTGGCCTTCCTCTTCCAGGACTGGGTGCGGGACCGGTTCCGGGAGTTCTTCGAGAGCAACATCAGATCCTACCGGGACGACATTGACCTGCAGAACCTCATTGACTCCCTGCAGAAAGCTGTAAGCACCACCCATGCTGGCCTCCCCAGTAGAGCACGGGCTTCCCACCTATGCCTGCGGTCCAGGCTGGGCTGGGGCGGGGGGCAGTGCAGGGAGGCCCTGGGAGGTGCCGCTCCTGCCTCTGGTCGGTTTAGCTTTGCCTGCTCATGGGTGCCTGGCGGCTCAGGCGTGTTCGCAGGGTGCTCGCCCCCATTTGCATCGGGCGGGCAGTCCAGCAGCTCCAGTGGCCACCCTCCCCCAGGGGCCCAGATCTCTCCAGCCCTGGCCTCACAGGCGGCTGCAGGTCCCTAGGCGCTATGGGTACCGAGGGGTGGAGCGTCTCCCCCCACCGGCCCATGACTCACTGTCTGAGGCTATTCCTGTCCCCTTCCTCCCGGGGACCTTTTCCCCTTCCTGTTTAAGAGGGCAGAGCTGCCTGGAGGAAACTCCCCCAGATGGAGAGGAATGTAACCTCCCTGGAATATGTCTCCAGGGGGGTGTCTAAGCTGTCCCAGGCCTTGGCCTTTACTCCATCTGGCATTCAGTCCCCTTGTGTGCAGCCACACCTGGAGGCTTGGACCACAGCCATCCCCACCCTGGGAAGAACCTATTCCCCACGGCCAGGCCTATGTAGGGCTGTTGTTTGATCTGTCTGTGCTCTGCCAGAAAACCTTGCTTCCTCGGGGACTTCGTATGGAACACTCTGGTTCTGAGAAGAGAATAATCAAGAAAGCATTAAAAATAACCATAGTCTACTCTCACGTTAACTAAGACTTGTTTACCCCCACGTCATGTGTCCTGGGATCCAGCAAAACCCATTGATGTGACCAGAGGCCCTTCCTGTGTTGTAATAGTGGCCTGCGTTCGTCTGCAAGGTCACATCCCAGCCGTTTCCTACTGTCTGTCCCTCACTGTGCGGTATTGACGTTGTCACATCGCCGCGGGCGTGCCGGTGTCTGTCCCGTGTGCGGGGCACTCTCGCCCTGCACTGGCCTGAAAGACATCGAGGTGGTCGCCCCTGCCGTCCTTGCAAATTCTTGAAAATCAATTATCCGGAGGGATTCGGTACATCACAGAGCTTCCTCACCGTGAAATACACGGTGATCGTTAAAGCAGCTGGAACCACAGCAGAGTGAGGGTGGGGGACATAGAATTTCATCTTAGACATAAAGACAACCAGAATTCCTGGTTGTGTGTGCGTTGCGATCACTGCCACACCCACGTCAGCAATAAGGACACGTGTAAAAACAGAATCTGCTCTCGGTTTGGGATGCCATCGACCTCACTGTGCTGTTTTCCATATGTTTGGTTTTACGTTTTTTTTAGACGAGTGGGGATGGTCTTTGCGAGAACACCACATAATGGGGGCTGGTGGGGAGGCGAGGGCAGAGACCCCAGGTCAGGGGCCGACCCCAGTCATAGTTCTGTCCTTGGGAGTAGACGTCCAGCAGCTGTTTTTTTGTAAAGAGGCACACAAAGGAACTAGGGCCAGCTTGGAAATTTCCTTGGGAGGAAGACACACTCACTGCCCACAAGGAGGGATTCCCTCTCTGTCCCCCCCCCCCCCCCCCCCCCCCCCCCCCCCCGGAGAACTACGGCAGAGGGACTATGGCCTCAGGAGCGTGAGGACTCTGCTCTGGGATGAGGGGAGGTAAGGGGGAAGGTCCAGGGGAGGAGGGTCTGGACCTGAGTGCCGTGCCGAGGTGAGGGGGAGCCAGTCATGCATGTTGGGATCATCGCCAAGGTTTCCTGGTTTCCTTCATAAAGGGTGACTTGGGTCACCATGCTGGGCATCTCGGTGCATGCAGGAGGTCAGCAGGGCGGGCCTTGATTTCTCTGTGTTACATGGAGGTGCACTTAACCTCTCATGTCTGCTACTCTGTGGGCGGCCACAACCCCAGCTCAGAGCCCGTGATGGCTCTCTGCTTTTGTGATCACAGAACCAGTGCTGCGGTGCCTATGGCCCTGAAGACTGGGACCTCAACGTCTATTTCAATTGCAGCGGCGCCAGCTACAGCCGCGAGAAGTGTGGGGTGCCCTTCTCCTGCTGCGTGCCGGACCCTGCGGTGAGTCGGCCTGCCCGGGGCGTGTGGAGCGGTTCCTGACTCAGTCTGAAGAGAGTGCCCTGCGCTCTGTCCATGCACCACTGCTCTGAAATCCTCTGTGTAAAAGTCCCAGGAGCGTTTTTGCATGGCCCACCTGGCTCTAGTCTTCTGAGTGAGGCAGGAGAAAACCAGTAGTGTCCCTCCCTCGAGGGGCTGTCACTCAGGGTGCCTAGACAAAATGCTACGAGCGTGGTGAGCCCTGGGCCGCGCTCCTCACTGTTCTCCGGAGAAAACTTTGCCCAGTGCACAGAAGCCCACGGGGGCGGTGGGCAGTACTCACCATCTGGGGGTGGTGGAGAATTCTCTCCTTTTCTTTCTTCTTCACCTGTTTCCGTTCCCTGTCCGTGGCCCTGGTCCCTGGGTTCCAGAAATGGGGGCTCCTGGGGGTGACCTGTGAAGGAGCACCGAATGTTTGCATGAACTGAGCTTGAGAAGAACTGGGTCTTTCACAGCTCTGGGTGCACTGGTACTGGGTGCGTGTGCCTGGTACTGGGCCCCGGGGCTCCCAAGCAGGCAGGGCATCCTCGAGACCACATGGCCGACGCCCCCAGCCCAGGAGAGGCTCCGGTGTGCTGAGGTTGCACGGCCAGCACCTGAGGTCTCCAGTGTGACGGTGAAATATCGAGCAAGTGGAACTCTTACCCCTTAGCGCAGGCATTGGCAAACCACGACCCGTGGTCTGGCCTGCTCTGTGTTTTCAGGTGATCTGTGAGCCAGGAATGGTTTCAGCCATTTTCAAATGGTTGAAAATCAATAAAAGCAGGATAATATTTTGTGGCAGGCGAAAGTTGTATGAAATTGAAGTTTCCGTGTCCATAATAAATGAAGTTTTATTGAAAGACGGCCATACGCATTCCTCTATATATCGTCAACATCTTCTTTCCTGCTACGAGAGCAGAGTTGTTGAGTAGTTGCTACGTAGGCGGGTCGGAAATAATGATCTAGCCCTTCACACGTAGTTTGGCAACCTTTGTCCTAGCATGAAAGGTTACTTGGCATTGGGATTGCAGGCCATGAGCTATGGTGGAATTTGTAAAGGTGTTTGCTGATATTTGGTTGTGACTTTTCTAGAGCGTTCTACCACTGGCTTCTCAAGAAAACAAAAATGACCAGTGTTTTTCTGCTTTTCTTACAGCAAAAAGTTGTGAACACACAGTGCGGATATGATGTCAGGACCCAGGTGAGCGCCTATGCATACAACTTTGAGTTTGTCAGGTTTATCCCCTATGGTCCAACTTCCTGATTTAGCACAAGTGCAAATTGGAGTGAGGAATCTAGGGAAGGTGCCATCTAAGCTGGGAACGAGCTGAAGAGCCTCCTTCGCTGATGGCAAGACTCATGGGAACGGTGATGGGCGTGATGCCAAGCCCCAGCAACCGCGGTCACAAAATCTAGCAGCTGCTGCATGAGGGGAAAGAGATCAGATGAAAGTTTTGGGAACAAACGCTAACATTTGTTAATGGCTCCTTGGAGTCCCAGAAGGTGTCTGTCATATAGGAGTTCGAGCACATGGCTTGGCTTAACTGCCGTGTAGAGGCGGTGGTGATAATAAGGAGGGAGACGGGTCTCGGGGCGGGAGAAAGGCTCAGTCCTCCAGAGCCTTCTTCAGGCCACAGCGGGTGTGCACTTGGATGTGAAGAGAAGGGAGTCTCCCCTTTACCTCCCCCCAGACCTTGCTCAGTGGCCTTTGGTGATATGGATGACTGTTGTTCTGGAGGGTGGATCTTGGGGAGTCCATAGGCACCCCTCCTGTTGGCCTTGGACACTAGGGATGTGTCCCTCCAGGTTGGGAGGTCTGAAGCCCCTTCCACAGTGACCTCCATTGCATAGGGATGGGCCTGTTCCCCACATTGTCAGTTTCAGTGCCGCTTGCAGGGGGTCCAGGGTTGTGATAATCAGGTACCACAGACGGTGCCTTGAACAATGGAGATTTGTCTTCTTGGAACTCTGGAGGTTAGAAGTCCAAGATCAAGGTGTGGAAAGGGTTGGTCAGAAGCCTCTCTCCTTCGCTTGTAGGTGGCTGTCTCCTGTGTGTGTCCCCACATGGTCTTCCCTCTGTGTCTTTTGGTGTCCTAATCTCTTTTTATAAGGACACCAGTCATATTGGATTATGGCCCACCCGGATAACTTCATTTCAATGTATTCCACCCCCCCCTGCTTTTTTTCATATGGTATTTGTCTTTCTCTGACATATTTTGCTTAGCATAATACTCTAGCTCCATCCACATTGTTACAAATGGCAAGATTTCATTCTTTTTTATGGCTGAGTAATATTCCAATTATATGGATGTATAGATATACGTATCTGTCTTTTATACATAACTATTTACCTATGTTTTTCCTCAGATCTAGGATTAGGGTTCGGTTTCAGGCCAAAATAATGGTTAGGGTTGGGGTTAGGGACATTGTGAGGGTATGTGCAGTTCAGAGACCTCACCAGATGGTTAGTTTAGGGTTAGGGTTAAGGTAAGGGTTACGAATTATATTACCTCTTTAAACACCCTGTCTCCAAATGCAGTCACATTCTGGGGGCTTGAGGGTTAGGACTTCAATATCTGAATTTTAGGGGGCCACAGGTCAGCCCCTACCACCGCTGAAATGAATGACTTTTCCATCAGCGTTGCAATGGGTGAGGCTGTATGTGGGTGGGTGGGGGTGAGGGTGTGCTGTGTGTGCTGTGGAGACATCCTGTGTGCCTACTGAGCCTCCACTAGGGGTCAGTATTGGAAGGCACCCCTTTGCTTATGACTGTTCCTGCTGGCTCTGGCTCGAGGAGCCAAGCTTCCCTGGGTGGGGGCCACACCCTGGGAAGCCACGGTCCCCTCCTTCTCTAGCCAACTCCTCTGACTCAGAAGATGCCGAACATCCTTCCAGTTTTCTCTTTAAAGGCGCGTCTTCCTTCTCGGAGCCTTCAGGCCCCTCCCCGCCCTTCTAGTGTGGGCTCTGGAGGGGTGCCAAACCAGTCTGTCTTTCAGTCTGGGGAGGCCCTGACAGGAGTGGGTGCAGGCCACCGCCAGGGAGTCTTCGGTTGGGCAGGGTAAAAAAATGCAGACTGCCGGAGGAGGGGGCAGAGACCGAGGCAGGCAGGTGCGTTTCTCCCGGAGAGTTCTGTTTGTCCTTGGCACCCGCCTTGCAGCACCTTGGCTCCCACCGAGCTTCGCCCTGCCCGCGACAGGAGCCCTCTGGGGAGCCGGGGTGGGGGGACGTCCGGCGTGTGTTGGGCTCAGGTCAGTGGTGTTTCCCTGCAGCTGAAGAGCAAGTGGGACGAGTCCATCTTCACAAAAGGGTGCATCCAGGCACTGGAGGGCTGGCTTCCACGCAATATTTACATCGTGGCCGGTGTCTTTATCGCCATCTCCCTGCTACAGGTGCGTTCTCCCTGCCCTTTGTGGCTTCCTTTGTCCTTGTGGGCTGTGCCTGTTCGTTTGAGCCAGATTTTAGGCCTGGAAAGACTTTGGTGGCCAGGCAGTGAGCAGGCTGGCTCGTGGCTGCCGGGAGAACGGGTGGGGGAAAGCCAAGAACTCAGCGCATCAGAGAAACCAGGAGTTCCCCGGGGTGCCCAGGGCTTGGGAAGAGACGCTGGCAGCTCCCAGGTGGCCTCTGGGGCGGCTGCTGCTCCTGTGTGGAAAGTGCGTTGTTTAGAAAATGTTTGGCTCTGACATTGCCATGAAGAGGGTGACTGAAGTGGCGCCGGGGCCGCCAGCTGTCCACACACTCCTTCCTCCTTCATTCCGCGAGTGTGTGTTGAATGATCTCAAAGGGAAGCTTAGACACAGAAGCATCTAGAAGAGGAAAGAACAAATGTACTTGCAAAACAAGCAAAGAAGTCAGACTTCAGAAAGGCTGGCTCATCAAATCCAAACCATAATGAGAATTTAAAGGGGAAATAAAAAGCAACATTCTGAAGGTCTCTGAGTTCACATTCGTCTGTTCCTGGTAGAAAAACAGTCTTCCCGCCTGATTACGCCGGTCACCAAGGTCAGATATCAGCACAGCTAAAATCAGGGAGAACCTTGTTTTTATTATGAAATCCAGCTTTACAGGAAACGTCAAGATTTATTGTTTTGAATCAAATCCAGTCAGGTGGCTCTGTTATTTTAGGTTTAGTGTGTCCCAGCTTATGGGATGTGACGTGCATGTTCGTGTTGGAGGCAGGGTGAACTGTCCGTCTTGCTTCTGTGTGCCTGCCGTTGACCCCTTCTAGGCCCTTGGGATATAGCAAAGTAGACCTCAGGGCTCCGTTTTTACTGGTGGGCTGGTCTTGTTTTGCCACAGGCCCAATTGTTTGTCTCTCTGCCTCATCCTGAGCGTCTGCAGAGTGGACGTGGGACTGATGTGCACGGCAGGGCCCGCCTTGCCCTCTGCACCTGCCCGCCCCCATCGGGCCCCACCGCTGACAGCCTCTGCCGGCTTTGCTTTCAGATATTTGGCATCTTCCTGGCGAAGACCTTGATCTCGGACATTGAGGCCGTGAAGGCAGGCCATCACTTCTGAGGGACAGAGGTGAGCAAGCAGAGCTGAGCCACGCCGTGGAGGCCAGAGCCCTTCCCTGTTGTCACCTCCGTGTCCAGAGGGAGGAAGTGGATGCACCCAGCCAGAGCCGGCGCCCTGTCTTCGGCATCAGCGTGACATGACCTCTCTGCTTCTGTTTGCTGGTGCTGAAGACTGAGGGGCCCCCCTCTAACCCGCACAAACTTGTGACTGAGACGCTCTCCCCCCGCCACCACTTGGGGTCTACCCAGAGACGGAGAACGTGTCTTTAAGCGGGGCTGGCGACTGAGGGACAGAAGGCCCCTGTGGCTGTGAAGGGGGCCTGACTCAGTTCTCCTGGAGACCGACTGTGTCTGCGGGGCCCCACTCATGTTATTGGTGCCGGCCCGGAGGGCAGTCATCTGCTGTGAGTGGGACATGGGTGGGGGTGGGGGGGTGGACCAGAAGACACGGACAAGGCTTCTCCCAGCAGCAGAAGGGTGCTGCCTGTAATTGGGGAGGGGAAGGGACACAAGTGGACCGTGCCAGCGGAGCCTGTGGTGTCTGCACGACTCGGGGATGTTTGCAGGATCCTCAGCCACGTTCAAGTAAGCCTGAGCCATGTGTGGACCGGTGCCACGGAGGACCTCCTCTGCCGCCCCTTCCAGGGCAGGAACCGCCCCTCGTCTCAATAGCATTATGCCCAGATGGCACGGGGGCATGGGCAGGGTTCTCCTCTGAGAGTCGGCTCTTTTCTTAAAGCGTGTAAATAGTTTATTTATAGGGATAAGAATGTTCTCACACCATTTCTTCGTTTCCTCTGGCATTCCCTCTAAGCAGCCTTACGCGGTGTCTGGGACTGAAGCCATCCCTTTCAGTTCCTTTGAGTGTCTCAAGACCCAACCCCATCAGCTTCTCCTTTTCATCCCTAATGACCCAGGTGCACATGCGCGCTCCCCCTTCCTCCGTGCACCCCCCCAGCACACACGCACCCGCGCCCCTCCCCTGCTTGGCCTCACTGTCTTCTGGTCTTGGTGCTACTGAAACTGTCATCCGGAACTTGAATCCTGACCTCCCCCCCCTGCCCGCTGCGAGGCCGAGGAGCCCCAGCCTGAGAGAGCCGGCCCGGAACCTTTGACCAGGGCAGCTTTCGAGGCCACGTGGTCAGGGCCGCTGGCCGGCCTGGCATTTGCCTCCCCCTGGAGTGAATCTAGCCCGGCTCCTGTGTGGAGCCGCAGACCCCAGCCTGCAGCTGTGTAGAAGCTCGGGATGGTTTTTTTTTTTTTTCCTCCCCTAACTTTT